GGAGCTCCTGTGGTTCCTTACGCATTTCCAGAAGGCTAGGGGCAGGTGAGAGACGTCCAGTAACATACATAGGCTGCAGATGGTCTGTGCCATCTCAGCAGCCAACATCTTTGCTAAACAATCCTCAACCCATTCAGATTCTGTCAGTCACAGGGGCAAATCCAAAGCAAAGTGCTTTTGCTATATTTACAGTCTTACGTTAGCTGAAGACAGTTTCAAAATTCAAATTCTCTCAGGAAAGAATTTAAACCAGCAGCTAACAGCATATAACCCCCTAATTTTAAAGCTTGATTCAACCATGCTGGAAAGATGGTCTGCTTTATCAATGACTATCATATCGTGGGTCCCTCCCAAATCAATGGAAAGTGAAAAACTGTATCCATAACTCCATTAAGATGAAGAGCACTTTAAAGAAAACAGGTAACTCATCAATCACAAAATTCATCCTTTTAAAATCTACCACTCAGGGGTGTTTAGGGGCTGACAAACATTTTCCTTGCCTTAGATTTACTTTTCTTTTTATTGGAAAGGCACATTTACAGAGAGAAGGAAAGATAGATCCACCGGAGGGGAGGTGGAGCAGTTGGAATACGAACACATGCAAGGCAAGGATTTAGCCACTAGGCTATTGTGCCAGACCTCATTTTCATCGCCTTAAAAAGCAATGGTTGACCATTAGTATTCATGTGCCATAACTACTTCCTAGTCCCTGGCAACCAGTCTACTTGTTCTGTCTCCATGGGCTTGCCCATTCTTGATATCGCATATATATGCAACCAGTCTACTTGTCACTTCCTGGGTCTGCCTCCTCCTACTTGGCGTGTTTTCAAGGTTCATCCAGGCAGAACACATCTCAGTAATTCATTCATTCTTGCCTGATGTGACCTATCACCTAGTATTCAACCACGAATGGCGCTTTCAAGATTACACAAGATTCAACACCACACATTAGTCACTCACTGGGCTACTAATTCACAACACTGTCCATCAACATTTTACTAGATTGTCAGTTTATAAATCACCTCACATGCCACAATCCCCATTCTATTGTATCTTGTGAGTATTTCAGAAAATACTTTTTGGGTGTTCCATCCACTCCCTCTTTTTCTAGAATTGCCCCTTCTCTCCAATTCCATTATGTGGTTACTATGGCCTTGTTCCTGTCTGCAGGAAACTGATCCAGGAATGAGTATTCCTGGGAACCCAGCCAGGAAGGAGCCCCTGGCTCAAACTGGGCCAGCTAGGCTCTTTTCTGGAAATACAGAATAGGGGGTACGATTTTCTTTCCAACTATTGCTCTCTTGATTCCAAGAGCGAGTTGGGACTTCTGACTGTTAACATTACTTGCCATGTAGACTAAGAAACTGAGAGAACGAGTTTGGAGCAGAAGGATGGAGCAGAGATGCAGACTAAGAGGAGAGCAGAGATGAGAGAGGGAGCCAGAACTCTAGACTCCCTACGGTCCTCCAGCGTGGTTCAAGGCCATCCCCTGGACTCCTTCCTGGGGATGTCCCATATGTGTAGACTTCACCCCTTCTCAATGGTTAAGCTAGCTGAGGCTTCTGTGACTTCCAGACAACAGTTCTGATGTCATTACCCAGCCAAGGCAATCTCACAGTCCTTATGAGTACCAGCTCAACCAGCACGGCAACCATCATTTCCCAGACAATTTATGGAAAAACAGAACTAAAAAAAGAAAAAAACTAAACTTGTAAGCTTGTCTGGTGAGAGAAAACTGAAAGCCAGTTTTGCTTATTTCAAGTATTACCTGTGTGGTAATCTTGAAAATTATCTATCAAAAACATCAAGACATTACTGAATAAAGACACAGAGAAAAAAATTATGTTCATTTTTGAAAAAGCTGCATGATCTTACCACCAACTCAATATATCCTTGTAGCCTATTCATCTTGCAACAACAACTCATCCAGCTTTTTTACACTGTAGGCTGCTTTTTGTTTTATATTGCCACTCACACTTCTGCACTTGCTTGAGACTTTTATAAAGCAAAGAGTAATTTTCCTAAGAAGACTTGGAGTTTGAGAATGTGTCACTTCTACCTTTCTTTTAAGTAAACTGCAGGCCTGGCTCCCTTGGTTTCATTTTCTCCTGTAAACAGCACAGATTGTCAAGCACCAGTCATGCCCATAAGGCTGATATGTGTAAACCTCACTGCAGGCATCTAATTATGACCCGGTGTAGACTAGGGGGCAGGCCAGATAACACCTTGACCTGGTGCACAGGAAGTCAGTCCAGCAAGCTTGCAGCATGTCCCAGTCTCCACGGACCTGTGCAATGGCTATCGTCTGTGTGGCTCTGGGGGCTGTTGCTTCCCCACGTGCAGATGTCCTCCCAGAATTAAATCCAGGATCGGTTACCACCTTGGTTCAAAGTAGGAACAACACAGATAAAACTGAAAATCCAACAATGCTTTCTGAAATCCCTGTGAGAAATCCAATAGAGGGAAAATCCAATAGGAAAGTATAAGACTTGGCTCCTGAACGGATTTTGTTCGATTCGCAATGTTCAACGCCCCTACCTACCTTAAGATGTATTTAAAAAATTTTTAAACATGAGCCCAGCAGCATGGCCTACCGGCTAAAGTCCTTGCCTTGAACGCACCAGGATCCCATATGGGCACTGGTTCTAATCCCAGCAGCTCCACTTCCAATCCAACTCCCTGCTTGTGGACTGGGAAAACAGTTGAGGACAGCCTAAAGCCTTGGAACCCTGCACCCATGTGGGATACCCGGAAGAAGTTCCTGGATCCTGGCTTTGGTTCAGCATAGCATTGGCTATTGCGCTCACTTGGGGAGTGAATCATCGGACGGAAGATCTTCCTCTCTGTCTCTCCTCCTCTCTGTGTATCTGACTTTCCAGTAAATAAATAAATCTTTAAAAAATAAAAAAAAAATAAAATAAATGAAAAAATTTTTAAACATGGGCACGGCGGTGTGGCCTAGCAGCTCAAGTCCTCACCTTGAACACCCTGGGCTCCCATATGAGCGCTGGTTCTAATCCCGGTAGCTCCACTTCCAATCCAACTCTCTGCCTGTGGCCTGGGAAAGCAGCTGAGGATGCCCCAGTGCTTTGGGACCCTGCACCCTCGTGCAATACCCAGAAGAGGTTCCTGGTTCCAGGCTTCAGATCAGCGCAGTACCAGCCATTGCGCTCACTTGGGGAGTGAATCATCGGTTGGAAGATCTTCCTCTCTGTCTCTCCTCCTCTCTGTATATCTGACTTTGTAATAAAAATAAATAAATCTTTAAAAAAATTTTTTTAAACATATTTGCAATAGTACAAAGTCATAAAGAGAGAAACACCTTTAAGTCATCTGATTATAAATACTGTATGGCTTCTCAGCACTTGTCCGCATGTTGTTCCTTTGTGGCTGGCCAGAGCTGTGATCTACCAGAGGCTACTGAGCCCCCTCCAAAGGAAGGCAAGTCCCTGAGTGCAAAGAGTGGCTCCCATCTTAGTGGCTACCGCTTCTTAGGCTCAAACTCATATGGCAGGAGGAGACTTTTAACACCTGAGGTGGATTCACAGTGTTGGTGATTAAAAATGGCAAACTTGAAATATGGCTACTGGGATTCCGGGCCGCAAGCCCAAGGTCAACGCCACCCCCACCTCATGGCCTTGGACAGTCCTGAAATTCCTCTGCAGTGTAAGGGAACACAAAACAAAAACACTCAAAAACCCAAGACAGCTTTCGCTTACCTAATGAAGCCAGATGGTTTGCTAGATAAAGTTCCACAGTTCTGGTGCTCAATCACGACAAGGAGGGATAAGTGGAGTGAAACTGAACCCAGCTCCTCCTGTGACCTGAAGGCCACCTGCACAAGGCACCAGGGCAGCCATTGATTCTGGGCACCCCAAACCCCTGCCCTCCTCCGTGCTTCACGAACAAAACCTAGAGTCTCTTGGCCAGAAGGACAGGACATGTGTCCCAGGCCTGGGTAATCCAATATCCCGTATCACGGGCTAAAGTCAAAGTGGTTCTAAGCAGGGGCAACCACAACCCTGCCCTAGAGTAGCTGGAAATACAGATGCTTCCTGCCTCATGGAGAAAGCAGAGCCCAAGAAGAGATGTTTCAAACTCCTAGTACAATCATCTCCAGTAACATTTGATTTCTAGTAAAAACTCAATACAAAATACATTCTAGAGCCCGGCACTGTAGGCCCTGGTCTCCCAAGGGTTAACTCCACAGCTTAGCTTGTTTCTCTAGGGGTAACAGGATGGGCAATCTTGGCCTGATACATTTAGCCCCTGGCTTCACCACAAGTTCCCTCTTCCCTGCTTCCCCTTTTTTAAGACACACCCAGGGGAGCTTAGGAGTTGCTTGAGCATTGGGATAATACTGGGAGGAACTAGGAAGACTGTAAAAGATGTTAACTTCAGATAAATGGCATTCTCTTTACAAGAATGACCCACTGTGTGTTGTCTTTTTGTAACCCTAGTGCCTCTGCTCAGCTTGGTACGCGTTGCCGACAGGGCACAATGGCCTAGTGGCTCAAGTCCTCGCTTTGAACACACCAGGATTCCATATGGGCACCGGTTCTAATCCCGGCAGCACCACTTCCCATGCAGCTCCCTGCTTGTGGCCTGGGAGGGCAGCAAAGACAGCCCAAAGCCCTGGGACCCTGCACCCACGTGGGAGATCTGGAAGAAGTTCCTGGCTCATAGCTTCAGATTGGTGCAGCACCAGCGGTGTGGTCTCTTGGGTAGTGAATCATCGGATGGAAGATCTTCCTCTCTGTCTCTCCTCCTCTCTGTATATCTGACTTTGTAATAAAAATAAACATATCTTTTAAAATATATACATTCTAAGCAATACAAATGGGATGTGCCTGAACTGGAAGTAAAAAAAAAAAAAAAGATAGCCATCATAATATGTCATGAGACAAAAATCAAAATCTAAAGCCAATTCCTCAGAGACAAGGCTGCTTCTACCTGACACAGGAGTATGCGATCAGCAACAGGTAAATCTCAGGACCCACCTCTAGTAAGGCTCCAGTTTGGAAGAATTTCAAAGGCTTTTCAATGGAATAATAAAGGCTGTGATAGCTGCCCTTCGCCAGGTATGCTCGGACCAGCCCGACCGCTATGACCAGCCACCTGATAAAAGAGAAACAAGTGATCAGAGAGGGAGAGAGGCTAAGTAGAACTGAAGGTTAATACAAAGACGCAGCCATAAACAGTACTACAGATGATGCTCAGATTCAGAGTCCTGGATTTCCCACCCATACACCTCAGCTCTCGAACGCCAAGTGGGGGAGCCAGGGAGGTGCTGCGGCACAGTAGCACCCTACTCTGCCCAGGGTGTCTGGCACACTTCACCCCCTCTGCAGCCTAGCTTTTTGGCAGCTGTCCTGTTGAGAACAAGACAGAAATGAAGACACTAAACTAAAAGAGTTTGTGTGCAATTCAACCAGGTGCCAGAAAGTCTTAAAAAAGAGAAAAGGACTATTTGAGGAAAATGTGGAAAGCCTGCACGGTTGAAAGGTCTTCAATAATAACTAGTGAAGATGTTGTGCAACCCTTCGTAGATGTGTAGCACTGGTACACACCTGTAGCGTTAAGTCATACTCATACACATACCATAAAATCAATCCTATTTGAATGAAATACGGCTAAAAGGTTTGGCTTTTTTTTTAAATAAATAAAGGGCTTCTTTGTTTTGTTTTGTTTTGTTTTTAGTAGATTGTCCCATAATCATCTCAGAGAAGAAAACAAACCAGATCAACAGTCTTACTGATTAGAAAAACACCAAACAGGGAAGCCTGGTCAGCAGACAGCTCTTTGTTACATTCTGCACCACCCTGTCCTCAGGAGTCAGGATCAGGTCCTGGAACTTGACTTTGCTAACTTCCATACTGAAGCCACTGGCCCTCTATTATTAAGCTCCATGCCCCTGCAAAAGGCAGTGGCAGAAGGCCCCATGGTGTGATGTCAATTGGGCAGTGGGACACCAGCTCTGACATTTATGGTAACTATGGCCCAAGGACGGCCAACATGAGTTTGTAAAAGAAACGAAATCCTTACTGGATTAAGTGGCCCAGCATCAACAGAAATCAATACTGCTCTCATCTGTTAGCAGATATAAGGCTTACCTGACTTTTCTCACCTCAATTTCCTGGCCTCCTTCAGGGCACCATTCCTTACCTTTCACCCCAATCTCCAGGTTCTGGGCCCACAAATAAAGATTTATGTAGCTAAAATCCCTCTTCCATGCAATACTCCTTTCCAAGAAACTAAGAGTTTTATATATAAACGCACAGAGAATACAGAATGTTCTTTTAAAGCCCATCCATATGGACATTCATGTGAAAGGAAACTTACAACACTCTCGATCCAGAACTTTTACTAATAGGTTGTACAATCCTTAAGCAAGACACAACTTTTCTGATGAAAGGTTTCAACATCTACTGTTTATAATACTAGCAATCGGACTGCACTCCTTCAAGGATATCTATTTTTTTTTTCATGAAAATGTCCACATACATTAGCACTTGTGTTTAGGAAAAGGAGAGGGAGTGTAGGGTATACACGGGTATGCTGTAGCCCTCTGAGGACTACGCAGGTCAGCTCTCCAGGGAGGGGACCCAGGTACAAGGAAGGGACACAGGGAACAGGCTTATTCTGAAAGGAAAGTCTCACCCTAGGGCCCTGCCAGAGCATCACCTACTGCACGGCCACCCTGGTTCTCCAGCCCACTTTTCTGTCTGTATGAGGTTTTTCCTAACAAGATGCTGCGGATGATATTATTATTATTATTTAACAAAGGAATACAATTTTAAAACACATAACCACAGCCTGATCCTGTGATCCACACCAGAAAAAAACAGGAAGGGACAGGGCTGGAGGACCCTGGGATCCCCAGCCCAACTGTCAGAGTTTTAAAGAAGAAACGAAGGGCGCGTCTGGTGGAAGAGGGAGACTACCCCACAGTCACTTAGCCTAACCTGTGTCAGAACCAGAAGGAACACCTGCTGCTAGGGTCCACTCCCTCCCGCCTCCCCGGCACCCCAAACTAACTCCCTCCTGCAAAGTCTGCGCTCATTCAAAACTTTGAACGCTCTTTCGTTCCCTTTTGGTCCAAAGCTCAGGCTGGATTGAATGAATGGTCAGCTCCGCAGTCGCGGCCCCTCCCCTCCCCTCGGCTGCAACCTGCACGGCGGTGCGGGGACCCGAAGTGCGGGTGGCCCGCCACCGCCCCCCACACCAGCACCCACAACCGGCCAGCCCACCCGGTCCTCCCAAGGCAGCGCCTCTCGGCGTCCACATCTCCTCTTTTACCCGGTGCCTAGGAACTTGGCTCTGTGCCCCGTGCAGGCGGGAGCCCGCCGGCAGGCACCGGGGCCGACCTGGCGCGCGGCCGCCCTCAGCGCCCCGGGCACCGGGGACACCGACCGGCCACCGCTACCCAGCGCGCGGCGGCTCGCGCCTCCCCCAGCCCCCGGGCCGGGCTCGCTCCCCGTCAGCCCGAGCCCCAGCCTCACCCCGCGGTCATCACCACATTGTAGATGACCAGGTACGCCGTGGCCAGAGGCCCTGGGCCTTTCTTCTTTCGAGGGCCGCTAGCTTCGCCGGCCCCGGCCCGACCGCCGCCTCCCCCATTCCCCTTGGTCGCCGCAGTGGCCGCCGACGCCGCCATGTCCACAGCCAGCAGCCCGCTCTCGGTGCGCGAGCGCCTCAGGCCGGACTCGGCGAGGCGAGGGGGCGGAGAGAGGGACGAGGCAGAGGCGGGGCGGGGGCCGCGGGGCGGAGCCGGGGACAGCGCCCACGGCGGCCGCCATCTTGACTGAGGGCACAGGCGCTCCCGGCCCTTCCACCGCTCGGCTCACCTCTGCCGGCGTCGCCATCTTGGATCAGGGTAATCCCAGCTTCCTGCGCGCTGCCAGCAGCAAGCTCTGGCGCCATCTTTGATTAGGTCAAAGGAGCTGTCAGCTAACCTAGCTGCCTCCTTAACGTTGCAGCAAAAGCAATCATTGTGGGTCCTATCTTCATCCCGAATATTCTGTCATTTTGGATCAGGGCGATGACGCCGACTTCCCATCAATCCCAGGAGCCGCCCGGGACCAGTCCTTTTAGGAGGGCTCACTTGTTTTTCTTGGTGACCAGGTCGGAGGTTACAGTGGCTGAAAGTTTCTTCCTGGCCCTTTGACTTTGTCGCTGGCGCTGTTCGGTAGCCAAGCTCTGTGGTCCAGGGCCCGGCGTCGGCTCGCCCGTGCAGGCCGGAGGGGGAAGAAGCCGCTTTATTCCCGCAGTGGCCAAAGATGCAGGACTTTTGGCCTGAGTGGAGAACGGAGAAACTGGAGCGACTTGTGGAGCGGGCTGACCCCACTTCCCATTCATTTCTTGGCTTTAGGGGCTTCTTTATTTGTAAAAAGGGCTCTTCCCTAACCATCCGTTTTCACAGAGCCAAACGAAATCATATCTGGGTATGTGATATAGAACAGCCATAGATTCTTTCCATTAGGTATTTATGGACGGATCTACAGGGATGTACTGCGGATCGAGGCACTGAAAAGTCGCTGGTCTCCTGGAGATTAGAGCTGGATAAAAATAAATACGTATTCGTTGATGACAAGTGCTACCGATTAGGAAGTTTCTACAGTAATGCAAACCAGAGCGCTATCAGGCCTGAGTGGAAGCGACGGAGGTGATGAAAACGGAATTTTTCTAGACATATTTTAGAAGCAAATATCATAGGGTTTGTTGGTCTAGTAGAAAAGACGGTATGAGTAAAAGCGTTTGTGAGCCACTAGAGGGAACTGAGTTCTAGAGGAAAGCATAAGCCAGGATTTTTTTTTTTCATCCTCTAGAATTAGTTACTAAGTGGATAAGATGAAGTTGGGGGGGGGGGGAGAAATGCGGGCTACAGATTTGAGAATTTTTTGAGTCCAGGTGAGGCTTGGAGAATGGAACTCACAAGCAGGTTCATCCTTTACTGCTCTGGGCTGTGTACAAATGCCGTGCTTTCTTTTCCTGATTTCCTTCAGGAGTAACTCGGCAGATCCAGGTTCAGGCTTTGATGGAAGGAGGGAGAGAGGGATTATTTTTGCAAAAGAAATAAATGAGGCATTTTGCAAAAACAATCATCTAAAAGCTTTTCTCTTCCATTTAACGGATGTGTTTTTCCCAATATAATCTACTTAATGGGAAAGTAGGAGGAAGTAGGAATGTATAAAACCCTTGAACATTGGAAATCAATTTAAAACTTACTGTATGTGCTTGTGGTGCTTGGGCCCAACGCCAGCCTTCTCCCTGACGCAGTCAGCATGCTCTTGTCCAAATACGACTGTGTTCCTAACACCTTTCCCCTGCCCGCTGCCTTAAGACTAGGAGTAAACATCCAGAGACACTGCAGATGAAGCTTAAAGTATTTACTGTGGCTTACAGTGGTCTGCACGGTCTCATCTCCACCCCCCTCACATTGTCAATTACTACCCTGCCCTCTCTCTCTAGCTGTGCGGGTCCCCAGTCATCTAGGCAGCAGTGCGGCCTCCTGCCACAGGGCCTTTGCACATGCTGTTCCCACTGCCTAGAACAATCTCCATTCCTCCTTTCCTCCTAACCTATGTTCTGACATTGCGCCCTTAAGGGAAGTTTCCCTGAATTTCTGGAATACTCATTCTCCCTGTACAATATGATACATACCTCAGTGTTGTTGTTTCTTTTTCATATATGAAAGGCAGGGTTACAGAGACACAGAAGGAGAGATGGAGCTTTTCCAGCTGTTCCTTAATCCCTACTTGGTCACAATGGTCGGGGCTATGACAAGCTGAAGCCAGGAGGATCTAGAAGCTTCTTTCAGGTCTCCCACATGGGTGCAGAGAGGCCCAACCACTTTGGATGAGCTCCACTGCTTTTGTAGGCACAATAACTGGGAGCTGGATGGAGAATTGAACTTAAGGTGGTGGGCAGGGGAAGGGTATTAGATATGAAGACAATTATTTTTGGATAAGAGCACTAGATGAACATGTGGTGAATTAACCAATTATGCCACAATGTCAGCCCCTCAGTAATTTCACATATGTTTGTTTGCGTGATTTCTCTCATTAAAGTACAAATTTTGTAAGAGACAGAAGCATTTTCTTGTTGACGGTGATTCGTGTCTGCGTTTCCTCCTTGTGGCCTTCACCTTCTCTGGCAACATTATGCAGCCTAGATCATCTGTGGTTTCCCTAGGGAAAGGGATTCGTTCAAATCTTAGGATGCTGACAGCACAAGCAGATATCATCAGAGTTCAGGGAAATTGAGAGGCAGATGCCAACGGGGAGTGTTGGCCAGCTGTGTGGAGAAGGGCTGCAATCCCAAGACGACTGGTGCGTGAAAAAAAAAGATTTCTTTTAAAGCTTTATTTTATTTTTATTTGAAAGGCAAGCTTACCGAGAAAGAGAAATGCTCTTCACATGACTGCCATGGCTAGAACCGAGCTGATCAGAAAACCAGGAGCTTGTTTCAGGTCTCCCACATGGATGCAGGGTTCCAAGGATTTAGGCTATCCTCTCTCCCAGGCCACAAGCAGAAACCTGGCTCAGAAGTGGAGCAGCCGGGACTAGAACCAGTGTCCATATGGAATGCTAGTGCAGCAGGTGGAAGATTATTGTGATATACCACAACACTGGTCTTGAGGAAGATTTTTGATGGAAAGAAACCATACAGATATGAGTGGGGAGGGCATGTCTTGGGGCATTGAGTTTTGGCTCTAGCCCTTGAATCCTGGTACCTGCTGCTTTTTAACTTTTTTGAGTTCTTCCATGTAAACTTTCCAGACAGTGAGTAAATACATCTAATTGTGTAATCTAAGAACCTTAGGAGAAAACCCATGTTTCCTTCCTATTCAAGCAGAAACCCTAGAAATTAATGTCATTATTTTGTCTTGAGCCATGTGCCCAGCACTGAGTCAATTATTGTGGCTAAAGGGGACAAAATACCCAGAATGGTCAGGTCTTAAACCCATGGTAAGGGAGGAGTGTGCCCAGAGTCTGGGGAGGTGAGGTTTCCCTTCTTACTACAAAAGGGTGATACTAGTCAAAGGGAATGGGTGCTGGCAGGCAAGGAAGGTGACTCCATAAGAGACAATGACATCAAGTGCCCAGGGTCAATGAAGGTATTTGGGAAAAGCATCTTTGAGATGAATTTCAGTTTGCCATTTGTGATGAGAAGATGATATAGGGTTATGTGGGTGGGCCTGAAATGGAATCACATATATCCCAATAACATTGATACACAGAAGGTTAAGAAAATCTACAGAGGATGAGGCAGAGTGAAAATAGAGGCCTAGACTGTGGCGATGCAGCTACCTCCATCTGGCAGGTGGATTCTCCCCCAGGAGAGGGTGAGGCCCCACCCCGCCAAGGCCTTGATGCTGGGGAACATGTTGGTTTTGAGGTGTCTTGTTTGCAGTCATTTGTCACCATAGCCACAGAAAGCAAATACAGCAGGTAAAAAGAGATGCTGGCTGTGTACCATCTACAGCCCAGGATCTCAGGCCTGGTCTGGGAGAAGAGTTGAACAGATAAACTGCAGAGAACTCCTGAGGGATGTGTGAGCAAGACCCAAGCTCTCTGGACCACAGAGCAGTGTGTAATGTGAGGGAGACAGGGCTGGAAAAGGCCTCTTAAGGTATGGAATGGAGTCGTACAGGGAGGACTGGAGTAAGCTGCTGGTAATCAGGAAAGCTGAGAAGTTCATCTGCAGAAGGCCGAGGGAGAGCCCGTGACACAAAGGACAGAAGCAAGTGTATGTAAATAGTTGAGCCTTGAGTGCTGGGGGATTTCAGTATAGACCAAGACATGCTAAAGAAGCCCTGTAAGGTTCTTAAATAACTGTGTGTTTACTCGTCTGAAAAGAAAAGTCTTCCAGGGCCCGGCGGCACGGCCTAGCAGCTAAAGTCCTTACCAGGATCCCATATGGGCGCTGGTTCTAATCCTGGCAGCTCTACTTCCCATCCAGCTCCCTGCTTGTGGTCTGGGAAAGCAGTTGAGGACGGCCCAAAGCCTTGGGACCCTGCACCCGTGTGGGAGGCCTGGGAGAAGTTCCTGGCTCCTGGCTCGGCATAGCATCGGCTGTTGCATTCACTTGGGGAGTAAATCATCAGACAGAAGATTTTCTCACTGTCTTTCCTCCTCTCTGTATATCTGCCTTTCCAATAAAAATAAATAAATCTTAAAAAAAAAAAAAGAAGAAAAGTCTTCCAAGCATTCATTTCCTGTTGACTCAGCAATGAGCCAATACATTTGCCAATGATTTAAAAACAGCACAAATTTATTCTCTTAAAGTCCTGGAAGTCACAAGCACACCGTGATCCATAATGGGGATAAATGCAAGGGCTCAACAGGACTGGTTCCATCTGGAGGACCCAGGAAGCAGCCATGTCCCACCACTCTTTGCTTCCAGAAGCTGTCTGCATTCCTGCGACATTGTGGCCTCCACCTTCTCTCGTAGAACAAGCTTCATGTTATTGAGTCCTCCAAATGGACCCAGGATCGTATCCCACCCCCGACCCCACCACCTCCATGCCAGGAGTCTCTGCTCTCTTCCCTTTTGCCATAAGTAACATTCTACGGACTGCAGCATCGGCTTGTTTGGACCTACCACATTCCATGACAAAATGCAACACAAAACATAATACATGCATGGGTGGGAAAAAAATCTCCAACGATTTCAAAAATAGCATTTGAAGAAAATCA